TAAGAGAGAGAGAGAAGAGGGGGGGGAGGGAGGAGAGAGAGAGAGAGAATGAGCGAAGGAGAGAGGACGGAGGAAGGAGAGAAGGACGACGTTCCAAGCTTCCAGATAGACGACTCTCGGGACGATCGAACGTTCGGCACGAGCCGTTTGTTTCGATAGCTCGTACGCGATAACGCATTAAATGCGTCAGACTCGCGCCGTATACCACTTGCTTTCTTTCCGAGGTGGAGGGGAAAATGTTGTAAACTGTTGCATCTTTTTTTTGTATTTATACAAACGCGAGTCCTAGATCCTATCTGCGAGCGCACCTACTTCGCGAGCTTCATCAAGCTCGCTTTTGTATTTTGAAGCCGAGTGTGGGGATCTCACTCGACCTCGAGGGGGGGGGGGAGTCGCTCGCATGGAAAACTCGATAACCAAGCGCCAATTTAACGAAAGATGAAGCTGCCACGGCTCTTCTCGACTGACAAAAGTTTCAGGTTTGGATCTGCCTGACAATCCGGATATTTCCTTCGTCCAAAGATCAGAACGTCACCTTAAGGTCACGAGCGTGCGTCGAAACGCGCACGTTTTACGGAACGCAATCGCTGCCTGCGAAAGCGAATGACAAAAGATAGGCCGTGGTAAACGGACGGACGGACGGACGGACGGACGAACGGACGGACGAACCAATCGTCCTCTGACTCCCGCTTCTCGTTTTGCACAAAAGTTTTACAGTCTGGCTGCGAGGTTGCCGGCTCTCGTCTCTCCTTTGCCTCGCATCGCTGCGGACGGTTCCTCTCCGCCTCGCCATGCTTCGATACGTTCTTTTTTTCCCCTTCGACGCCCGTCGCTCCAGCCCCGCTCGTCCCCTCGACTCCTTTCTCGTTCTATCTCATTGACAGAGAACGCGAGACAGGGAGGCAAAGCCGGGTGGAGAACGACCGGGTGAAAATAAATGAAAGTGAACTCGCATAGCTCCATTTTTTTTACACGCCCGGCACATCATTTTATCCCGGAGGATATTGCTATTATCGTCGTTATTTATTACATGATAAAATACTTTTGAAGAAAATATACACGGGAATTATATCTACAAGTTTGAAACAACAAAGTATGAACGACGAGATAAAAATGACATCTTTGGCAATAAAGATCTCTCCGCTTAAACTCGGGCCTTCGATTCTCGACAAAGAAAATCACACCCTCTGAAGAAAACGAGGCTGAACGATTTTTCTTATGTGCAGTCACCCGGAGTGATGCCGTTTTATGGGGATTCCGGCGCTGGTTTCCGTCCCGCGACTGGATTTGGAAATACAGTTTGGCATCAGGGAGTTGGACCGGTTGGCGCCGTCGCGGTCGAAACGTCACCGGCACCATGGCCACCTCAACAGTTCATTCAGCAGATTCCCGCGCCAAATCAACTGGAGGAGTTAAGGTATCACGCTCAGTACGGCGCCGCGGCACCTTATCATCCTCAGCCAGGTGAGTGCAAACGAGATAATAGCGACACAACCCGACAACACTTGCGAAATAACAAAGACTGCGAGACTCTGAGAACCATTTCATTTATTTCTCTACATCAAAAATTTTATATAAAAAATTTCTCTAATATTTTTGGAAATATTTTTTTAAACCATCGTATAAGTTGAACATACTTGAGACAGATTTTTGCTTTGTGTTACGTTACATAAGAACATCGCGTGTTAATTTCAATGTTACAGTTTCGTATCAGCAGCAAACGTTTATAACGACGGATCAGTCTGCGTTTCAACGAGCCGGGACGACGGGACAATATGCCATCACGGGGCAACCTTCACCGTTGGCCGCTGTTGGAGGACAGACGGTTTCGACGCCTCAGAGGCAGCTAAATGGACAATTTGTAGATCCCGCGGCTACAGCTAATCAATCGGTTGCCTACGAACGGCAGGATTATGTGAATGGCTATCAACAACCAGTAAGTGTGTGTTTCATAATGGACAGGCTATAACTAACATTTACGTTTCGTTACACGCGCGGATTCAATTCTCACAATTGTCTCGTGTTTGCTCCTATTTTGATAGCCGTTCTAAAGAATCGTATGAAGCATTTGCAACCAACGCTACACGTCGCAAAACGGGCCTTCTTGCAGGACGTGACGATGGCACCACCTCCGTCGACAACTCCGACAAGTCGCAGCAGCTCGGTGCACATGGATAGTCAGCAACAGCAGCAACAAGGAGGCCCGCAACAGGCACCGCAGCAGCAACAACAGCAAACTGCCGCAGATACTCAAGTAAAGGGATTCGCGACAATTGCCGCCAGCAACGTGTCGGGAAACGAGATGCCTGGGTATCCACTTCAACCGGACCCACAGAGTTTACACAACTCTAACGGGTATCCAGGCTATGTGGAAATGGGTCAGCAATCAGCACAGAACCAATGGCAAATGGTTCCGCAGCAACAACAGCGACACCATCAACAAACGCAAATGCAACAGCCGGTGGTCGACAATAGTCAACGACACGTATGGTCAGACACAAGCGGAAAGATGAACAGCAATGTTAATAGTAACATGAATTGGCAGGAGGGAACGATGCAGCATCCGCAAAAGCCACCACCGCAGCAACAGCAACAAAATATGCAAGGCAATATGAAGACACAAATGGAACAACAACAAACTACTCAAATACAACAACCGGAACTGCCAAGACCAGCGAGTCATATGAGCTGGGAGACTGGAAGCGTGAAGGAACCGCAAACCCCACAGTCATGGTCCGAGAACGCTGACAATCAGCAGCAACAAACTCAGGGAAACTGGTCGCAACAGAGTCCGAAGTTGAGGGATCCTCAAAATCCACGACTGACGCCATCCAATCAGCAACAATCATCTCAACATCAAACCTGGCTGCAGCATTCTCCGAAATTGTCAGATCATCAGCACAGTAATGCTCAACAAAATGCGAGGATGACGCCTTCCGCCCAACATAGCTGGCAGCAGAATAGTCCGGAGATGCAAGGACCTCAGAATCCAAGATTGACGCCTTCTGGACAGCAGATGCAACAACAGCAGCAGCAACAACAACAACAACAGTGGCCGCAGCAGACCAAGGTGGAGCAGAATCCCAGACTCACACCGTCCAATCAAATATCATGGCCCGATACGCCGACTAGTCAACCAAATTGGTCACCAAATAGCATAAAAAGTGATAATAGTCAACAGCCGCAGCAACAGTGGCAAGACTCACAACCTAGTCCGAGACGGACCCCGAGTCATCAATGGCAAAATCAGCTGCCACAGGAAAATAAATTGGATAATCGAATGTCCTGGTCGCCAAATTCTGTGTCGGAGAGTCAACCGAGTTGGGGGCAACAAGCGACGAAGCAGGATATACAAAATTCAGGAGAAAGAATCACGTGGCAGCAACAAACAACAGTGGATGCCGGCAAGCCAAACGGATTTCCGGAAAATCAAGATAATCCGGAAAACAATGTTTATGCTCAATCTAATAGAATGAATCTCACTAGTCGATTGAAATCGATGATTTTGAACAAACAGCAACAACAACAGCAGCAGCAGCAACAACAACAACAACAGATGCAGCAACAGCAGCAGCAGCAACAACAACAGATGCAGCAGCAGCAGCAGCAGCAACAACAACAGATGCAGCAACAGCAGCAGCAGCAACAACAACAACAGATGCAGCAGCAACAGCAGCAGCAACAACAACAGATGCAGCAGCAGCAGCAGCAACAACAACAACAGATGCAGCAGCAGCAGCAGCAACAACAACAACAGATGCAGCAGCAGCAGCAACATCAGCAAACTCATCAACATCATCAGATGCAATCGCAACACGTTAATACTAATAATGGGTCCGCTTCAGAGTATCCAACGGACGATCAAATGCACGATGCTCATGAAAACAACGAGAAGATGCAAGAAAAAGACACGGAACATTTTATCAATCAGTCTAATATGATGTCAATGACGCAACCTAATGAAAACTTGACCGGTAATTTTTTATCGCATAGCCACCACCCTCGGGTAGATAATTTATCCGACGGTGGTGGCTTATGGGAATGGACGGAAGGAGGACACAATCATAATAATAATAATATGAATAATAAAGACGATGGTAATTCTATGTTAACTGACAATGGAATGACAGTTCTCGAAAGTTTTATGAAATTTGCCGCGGAAAATAAGAGTCAATCATGTAACAAAGACAAGGATCAACATTCCTGGGAGGCAGAAGGGAAAAGCAATGAAGATCAAGACATCGATGACAAATCTTTCCAACAAAGACTATGTATGGATCAAATTGAGGACACATCTTTCGAAGGATCTCGGAAGATATCTGATAATGACGGAATAAAAAATGATAACCTGGATTTTCTGAAAACGACGAACGCTGTCGATCATTTATCTTCTCAAGATATTAATAAACTCGATTCTGATCGTATAATCAAACAAGAGAACACCGAAGATCATAATTATGTTCACGATACGTCCAACATTGTCGAGAATGAAGAAGAAAAAGAGATTACGCGAGATTATAAATTTCGCGGTGATGGTGGACCTGCGAGAGTATCGCCGGGGACCGGTTCGTGGTGTTGTCGAAGAGGCGGGACCGAACAGCCGACTCCTGAACACCTAAAAGACGGCTGTTGTCAAGGTCTCCAAACTAAGGACGAAATATTGGCCGATTCACCAGAAAAATCCGAAGTAAAGAACGAAGGACCACACAGTCCGCGTACCCCAACTACGACCACTGTGACCACAAAATTGCAAGATCACTTGGACAAACTGAAGAACAATGTCAGGACGGAAGTGCCGGATTGCAACTGCTTCCCCGCCGATAAATGTGAGTTACAATTACATATTCCATATTACACTAATATTGAGAGAGTACACTAACCACGAAAACACACGGAAGAAAATTATAAACGTGCTAATACATTTTGCCAATAACTACACCGACCGATTATGCGTCCCGAAATCGGATTTTCCCGGAGGAAAATATACTCTATTCGCAAAGGCGTATCTACTACACACGCGGAATAAATGTTTCCGCTTCCGTTGCTCCCTTTCGTGTTTATGTGTCAGTCATTTGTAAAATAAATTGTGGTTCAACCACAAGGTCCGCCAGAGCCTGGTTCGTACTACACTCATCTTGGGGCGGCTGCAAGCCTGCCTGACCTTCGGAATGATCTCGAACGAAGAACCGGCCTTAAGGGCGACGCGATAAGATTCGAAAAGGTCGTCTATACTGGCAAGGAGGGCAAAACCACACAAGGGTGTCCTATGGCCAAATGGGTAAGTTGTTTTTCCAAAATAGAATTGGGTAGCTAATAATGATTAAAAATAATATTAGGAAAGAAATACCTTATATCAATAATATTTGCTTTTTTTTTACTTATGTGAAATTATTGATAATTTACTAGATTATCCGACGATCCGGTATCGACGAGAAGATCTTAACTGTGGTGAAGCATCGTCAAGGCCACAAGTGTCCAACTGCCTGGATTGTCGTATGTATGGTTGCCTGGGAAGGAGTGCCGACTCACGAAGCAGATCGTATCTATACTCTCTTAAGTCACAAACTCAATCGATTTGGTCTTCCAACCACCAGACGATGCGGTACTAATGAACCGCGGACTTGTGCATGTCAAGGACTCGATCCCGATACTTGCGGCGCCAGCTTTTCGTTTGGTTGTTCCTGGTCAATGTATTACAATGGCTGCAAGTATGCCAGAAGCAAAACCGTCCGAAAATTTCGACTGTCTGTACGATCAGAGGTAAACGATCCGAAAACAATTTGAACGAATAGTAAATCAGTTGCAGGCTGTAACAAAAGAATTGTTTCGCAGGAACAAGAAGTCGAAGAAAGAATGCATGTTCTGGCAACCCTTTTGTCACCTTTGTATCTTAGCCTTGCACCGGAAGCTTTCAATAATCAAACTCAATTCGAGCGGGAAGCGAGCGAATGTCGTTTAGGATTTAAACCAGGTCGACCTTTTTCCGGTGTTACGGCTTGCATTGATTTCTGTGCACACGCCCATCGGGACCTACACAACATGAATAACGGATGTACCGTGGTATGTGAATTCTAAGTTTAATTTAATTCTAAATTTATATCAATCCACAGTACAGTATACAATTGTTATTTTCTTCACAATATCAAGAAAAAATAAATTTATTATTTATAAGCATTACACAACATTTTCAATTTGTAACAAGTGTCTTTATATCTTTCAGGTAGTTACTTTAACAAAGCATCGAACATTATCAAAACCCGAAGACGAACAATTACACGTATTACCTCTTTACATAATGGACGAGACAGATGAATTCGGTTCGAAGGAAGGTCAGGAGAAGAAAATTCGTTCCGGTGCTCTTGAATTTTTAACCAAGTGAGTGTTTCCTAAATATGTGATCATCAGGCAGCTGTTGATTACTATAGACATGAAATATTTTATATCCATATTATATATATATATATATATATATATATATATATATATATATATATATATTA